GAACAGTTAAAAAATGTAGCAGACGACAGAAGTTATTTAATTTGTATATTATACTCCTCCAAGTACTGTACTGAGGTAATGCTTTCTGCTAATCAAAGCAAGTTTCTGACCATTTAAAAAAGTCATTCTGCCAAAATGCTTTAGTCACAGGCACTGTGATAAGCAAATCATGAACACACAAAGATTAACATTTCTGCTACGCTGACACCATTACAAAATCTCTTGATTCCAGTGACGTCAAAGCTCTCAGACATAAGTGATTGACTCGTCTTGTTCATGTTACGAAAATGAACTGTTGAGTAATATTAGTATCAAACTGTGATAAACAAGACAGCGGAGACCACTGTGTTTACATGAACACATTTTTATTGCAATAGCTCTATCGAAAGCAAAAAAGTTTTGATAAATATAAACACTATGCTGATAATCGCCTCTTGAGTACCCCTTCTACCCCTTTCCCTCCATGAGGAAAAATGAACGAAAGAGAGAAGGAGGCAAAACAAATGGGGGATGGGGGGGGGCACCGTGCGAGGTGCTGATCATAACATGAAAAAAGTGACAACTTGAGTTTTCCCTATTTACAGGAGGATTTCCAATTCCACCAGTTTTCTTTTTTATAGGTCATAAGTTGCTGAAAAATAATGCACATACGAAGGATACACACCTCCACAGTATTTTTTTAAACTCTTTCTCGTTCCTGTAAAGCTAATAAACAACAGCATTCAACTTGAAAAATAAGAACACAGGTAGCAGGGAAGAGTGGGTTTCGCTTTCCCAAACCTCTGCTGAAATCCTCTGAGGTTTCGGAAAGATTTTGGGGGTAAAAAAAAAGATCAGACCTGCGCCTGGCAATGAACACCATCATCCTCACTACTATAGTTTCCATCAATGACATTTCCAACTGTTAACTGTACTACAGAGCAGCAAATAAATTGTAATATACTTACAAAAAAAAAGCAGGCTGATGTTGTAACTCATTTCTTTATAAAAATAACTGCAAAATGTCTATGTACGCTTAAAAAAAATACTACCCTTGTATAACGTTTTCAGAGAAACAAGGCCAGATGCCCTGACACAATACAACAAAAAAGGAGTTTTCCCTCTGTAAACTACAATATAAAATAAATCAAAGGATTAGGGGGAAAAGGAAAGAACATTTGCATAATGATGCAGTACCCCCTAAGTCTTCTCTGCCAGGATTATATATATATTACGTAGGTTTCGTTTCTTTCTCATTTCTCCACCCTAATAAGAAAAATTCACAACTGCTCATTTTCAACATCAGAATCTGTAACATTGATGACAGTTTTGAGGTTGAACTGTTGCCAAAACTAATACAAATTCTGGGTAAATTAATTCAGATATGACAAAAATGAAACAGGGTAAAGTTAAACATGAAGGCAATCAGACATGAATGACAGATTTTGAATAATGCTTTAGATAAATTAAAGGGGATTTTTCCAAAATCTTCCAAAAATCTAACATTTTGCAATAACATAAAAAAAAAAAAAACTCCCAAAAGCAACACATCGCCGTCACATCGCCGTAGCATACTAAGTACACAAAACATTTTCCAAACGTAAAAAACTAAATGTTCTTGTTTATCTCAGGTCGTTGTGGCCTAATATTCAAATTATTCTTTGTTCAAAGGGCAAGAGGGAGGCAAATGAAAACCTTAAATTGTTCATAATGTATGTTTAAGACATCACAGGCATAAAATCTTTACTTTTAAATCAGAGCATTTAAAACATGGATCTGCTTCAGTTCCAATCGTAACCTCCAAAGACAGGAAACCACAGCTTTCCTTTATCTCTTATCCTCCTGACACGAAGAACATGCTCTGTCATTGGAGGGAGGGGAAGGAGGATCATTTTTTGGACATTATCTTTAAGCAGGCTACCTCATGTCTTGGGCTAGGATATGGAAAGTTTTGGTGATTACAGCCAAAGGTCAGAGAGCTGGTATATAAATCAGTCTTAACAGGTCAATCAATGAAAGCTCTAACATAAGATCAGTTACTTGCCTTGATGCAGTAAACTACAGCCACCTGGTACCATCAAGATGAGATATATATTTTGATTATCGATTAGTCGTTTAAGGCATTTATCAAGCAAAACTCCAAATGTATCCAAAAAAATAACATTATGCAAAGACAATAATGACAGAACACAAGTACATATGACAGAAAGCCTTTCAGAACTTCAGGGCCAGAACACTGGTTTTAGCTGATTTGCCAACAGATTGAAGTAACAATGAAATCTGTTTTTGTAAGATGAGACTTTTGATTGGTAAAAACAAATCTTCTGAACCAGTTTTCCATGGAGTCAAACTTGTGCCAGATAAATTTCTTTCAAAGAACATGGAGTACCAGATGTACTGAGTTCACTGCACCTACGCAGCAAATAGAAATCAAGCAATTTTTAACTTTACGTCTGACAGTGCAACGAAAAACCTGCCCATGCTGCCCTCCAAAAAGGCTAAACCAGACAATTATTTGGAGATATGTCCGCTCTGTTCCTCCCTCCCTGCTCACCATCCCTGCTGTGCAAGACGCTACAAAGATGACAATAATGCATCCCACACAAAAGCACAGTGAGAGTGACAGGCCTTCA